GCTTGCGTGCCTCCTAGCCAGCTACCTCGGTGACACAGCCAAAATACGCGATGATGATGATGATGATGTGCCACTCCTCTAAATCGGTAATGAAGCTCCGCCTTCAATCACATGCCTTCACCTCCTCTTCATTACCCCAATGATTATCACTTTTCCCTTTTTAAAGTTGTGCATCCAATGTGTCCACCTTTCCGCTCTGTTGACACGGCGCATGCATTCAACAATGGCGGTCAAGTGGCGCTGAGCAAATGCACTCTGTAGGATGAGTGTGCGAGAGAGTGGGAAGCAAAATAAAAAGGCGAGAGCAAGTTGAGGAACTAAATGCTTACTGCCGAATCACCTAAGCTGGATGATTGAAGCAGCATGATGCGCGTAATATGACTTGCCAATGATTGCAGCGTGAAATGTGCTCGTCAAAGCATATGGTGAAGTAGAGAGATGCTGGGTGACAGTCTTGCAAGCACCTGCAAGCTGAACGGCTTCGGGCAGTATGAGCAACAGGAAGACTGGCTGTGTGGTAAGCTGTGGTCTGTGATCATCCTTATGACTATGCATAGGTGTTGTCCAAACAATTAATTCCATTCAAGGCCTGACAGATGCACTCGCCAGTCATGTAGGTTCACCCTTCCATCTACTTTATTTTAGCCACCGAGCTGGTGAATTAGTGGTCACAAGTGCGACCTCGAAACCTGTCAGATGTCTATTCGGATGTGGTTTGCAAGCAATACCTGGTGGCGGAGGACTGGCGGCTAGTTTAACCAAAAATGATAATAGTGCACCAATGAATTGTTTTGCTCCTCAAATGACACTGGACATAGTTCAATGCTGTCCGCTCGTGATCTTGGCCTAACCGACGGCTCCGATTTGGACACTGCGTGGGGCGTTGAGAATCATGCACATAAGTCCAACAGCTGAAAGTAATCGACGTAAAAGGCGAGAAAAGACATCCAATAGGAAGTCCTCCCTCGCCTCTCCACCTTGACTTGAAGAAGTGTGGTAGTAACAAATGTTGCGCCCAAGTTAGCCTCGTCCTTGAGGCCATTACAGAAGCCAATCAGCGTAAAGTCCATCATCAGACGCCAAGAGGAGTAACAGCGGCTGGTGCAGTTGTTTAATTTAAACAAACCACTCTCTACGTAATCGCATACTTTTATGGAAATGAAGCTGCACTCTCAACAAATGACGAGAGATCACTTTTATAAGCCGTGTTTGCAACCCATTCAGCCGTCGCAAAATTGCGGCCACAACCAGCATAGGAGAATAGACGACTCCACCTATTTCCTAAGTCCCAGACATCACTGCCTTTGGCTGGTTCATGCACAGTACAATCTGCACGGTAAAGTAGCTGTTGGATGAAGGTCTCATTCACTTCAGCCATACATGTCAACTGCGAAAGCTCGACCTTCCACAAGACAAGTGCCACTACCATGGCAGAATTACTGCAAAACGTGTTCTCCACTTTGTCGATCGTGCTTGAGTCCTCAGTGTCACAACAAACTGGTCATTTGCTTCGGGTTGATTGCATTCACTGTCCCTCCATAATCACCCATCACTTATGCAACTTCATGACAGTCTAGACGCAAGGTTGTCAGATGGAAGAGCAACGGCTACAGTGAGATCGCCGACCGCCACTATTCTCTCTCGGCTAAGCACAACTTAACGACACTGCACCCTGAGTCATACTTAGACCCAGATTCCGTCAGGCCCCATGTTGCTCCCCACCCCATGCCATTCCACCACACCTTGTGTGTCTCGCCTCCCCTAACAGTGCCCTTACTTAGAAATAGGGAATGCCTCTACCCACAATCTTTCACCAATGCAATTGACTTGTCTCCCACTATGCGGAGTGCCGCCACGTCGGAATTCGCCTCCATGCCTGTGATGTCCAAGTCCCACCCTTGCCATTGCCACAAAATGCAGCACTTATGGAATGGGAAAGCTCTTTGACGGTGCATCATCTGCGCGATCAACATCGTGAGTCGCAGAGACAATGAGGTAAAGCGCACTCATTGGAGCCATAAAAGGAAAATTGGCCTATAAAGAGGAATCGATGTCACCAATGACACTAGATTTAATGCGCTCCTGACTCAGCAACTGACTGCAAATGGTTTGCATGGCTTGTGCTCTTTCCAGCTTCTCGTACTCAGTCTTTAACTCAAATCCCACGGCTCTACAAGAGGATATTTTCGAAATTGCACGGCGATACGGTAAATCGAGACTCGGCAGATCATCGACTGCTTAGTACATAACAAATCGGCGTCGGAGGCCTATCCCACCTCAACTGCAACTGCCACCTTTGGGAATTCTTGTTGACATCGGTTCCCAGTGCTCAGTCACGCGTTACCTCGCGCGTTTTCGTGGGTGCAACACGAATCCAGCTACTCACATGGCTTAGTGCTCCTCGCGAATCACGGTAGATCACCCTCACCATCTGTAAGACCGTCTACTTGGCTGTCCATACTGCTGACCCAATCAAGAACACTTGAATACAGTTGGAAGCGGCACACGTATTGGGGTGGTAGAAACGAACCCTTTGGTGTCTCCTTTTGCACCCTAAATCCGTACACTTTTCCACCGATTATACTACAGCTGTCTCAGAACAGTTGAGTTCTCATCTCCGCTTCGCACAATGTCAGTGCAGCAATGGAGCAGCTGGTGGGATAAGGGAGCACAAGTTAGTGTTGGTCAGTTGCATTTCTAAAGCAGCAGCAACTAAGTAATGTATCTAACGTGTACACAGATCACATGCTATCAAACCGAAATTTCCGCATTGTTCAATGTATATCAATTTCTACTTCAGGTAGTAAGCAGACTCAAAATTGGCGCATGCCACTAGGCAGTGAGTTGTCGGGAAACAAAATGACGGGAGTTCGCTAGGTTCCGCGAGTTTATAAACTCGGTGTAAATTATTTGGCGCTTGGGCTTCCTCACCACGATACGTTGGCATTGGAACGTGATGTGCAGAACACAGTATCAGCATCCTTTGCAGCCTTGGTTGTGTGAGGAAACAGTGGCCCAAAGGAAGGAGCATTTCGGGCCCTAAACCACCTTCTCATCTTTAAGCACAAATCGCCAAGAGTGGTGAGTTGGGTGGCAGTGCATGATTCCGCATCCTCTTGACTCACTGCCAAACAGGCCTCCGGCACAAAGGACCCCATCACCTGGGAGGATTGATTAGGCAAAAGGACACGTCATGTGCTTCGGTATGTGATGACTGTTGGGGTCACGCTGTACTTTCAAACAACCCCATGGATTGTCCTTATTGCCTCACCTCGACCTTGGACAAATCAGATAGGATGCCTACGCCGCAGGAGACAATGCACAAGCATAACAGGTGTCGAGCAATTCCAAGCATTTTTTAGTCAAATTATTCCAATGGAAAAATTAAATGCGTTTAAAAAAAGTAAATGAAGCGTATGGCAGATCATTTAATTTCATTTGGGAAAAATTTTAACAGCATAAAGATCGATAGTTTTATCCGCCATTTTTTTCAGTTTGCAGTGGATTTTGTCCTTAAGTTCGGCAAATTTTAAGGGCATGTATTTCCTCACCTTCCTTCCAATTTCTCCTCGAATAAAATCAGTAAAGACTCCACTGTTGACTAGAAAGCCGGCCACCTTGTTGAAGGTGCCTTTGCCCTTTATTCGAACACCTTTCCAGTGCTTGATTTCGACGTCTTCCAGATCTATGGAGAAGGTGGCGAAGTGGGGCAAGTTCGATGCAGACCCTTTGTCCAACGCCAAGGACTGTGAGACGCTCAGAAATGGAAAGCAGACACGGAGCCTTACATGAAGAACGAGGGGTTTAATTATCATTTCGAAGGGGTGAAACTGAAGCAAGCAGAAAGAAGGATGGTAAGATGATGGTCATTTGCTCGAATATCAGCCCCTTCTCCTCCAGTTTGCCTCTAAATTGCATAGGCTGGACAGCTACGAGATTATCCATAGAAGGCTGTCACCTAATAAACTTGTCATCAAAATCCTTAGTCATTTGAACCAGTGTGAATGGGAGTGTGTGATCGTGTGTGTGCGCCTTATGCATCTGCAGCCCAATTCGCCCATTTCATGGTTCTTATTCCATGCATACTACTCATTTCAGTCCGCCACTAAAGAACGTCAGGCGTTGCAAGCAAATGCGATTGATGGAAGTTAAATTGCCAGCTAACCAGGTTCACGTGCTATGCTACAATGGCTAGGTCCACACTTAGCCCCTTAACATGGCGAAGTTGGCACTGGTAAGCATGTTACCTCAGCATTCACTCACCTTGGTCTTGAAGAACACCTTCAGCTTCGACTCCGCGCTCACTGTCAGCTCTCGGAGGCCAATGTTCAAGTCAATGCTGAAGCAACGCGTAGTCACCTTCCATCCTTCCTTCATGCTCTCGTCCACTGGAAGTGCTCTCAACTCCGGTACGCTGGCCTCGTAGATGGACTTGAGATTGTGAATGCGAATGTTCTGCAGTTCCACTCTGGACACTCGAATAAGGTCTTTGACTTCGAAGAAGTCTTTGCCAGCGTGCAGCAATCGCATCCCATAATCCAGGAGGACATGAAACAATCGCAAATTGCTACTGGAGGTGTTCGT